CCTAACCCTAACCCTAACCCTAACCCTAACCCTAACCCTAACCCTAACCCTAACCCTAACCCTAAACAGAACCCTGAACCTACCCCTTACCTTATAACTGAAATTGTGCTTTTGTGGGCGCGGTTTTGTCAGCGCGTTGTTGTGGGCGCGTGTATGACATCGCAGTTTTTGTCGCCGCGGTTTCGTCGGCGCGCTTTTGACGTGCGCGCATTTGTCGGGTCACGGAACTATATCGACTTACAACCACAATTGAGCCCAAAATGTCTGTTGCTAAGCAAGTTAAGTGAACTTTGCCCCATTTTATGACCTTTCTTCCCACCGTTGTTAAGCAAATCACCACAATCGTTAAGTTAGTAGCATGGTTCTTAAGTAAATCTGGCTTTCTCATGGACTTTGCTTGTTAGAAGGTTGCATGTTACATTACCCCAGGACCCTGCAACTGTCATAAGTACAAGTCAGTTGCCAAGCACCTAAATTTTAATCCAATGAGCATGGGGCTGCTCCAGTGGTCATTAAGTGTGAAAAACAGTCATAACTCACTTTTTTCAGTACCATTTTAACTTTGAACAGTCACTAAATTAACTGTTGTAAGTTGAGGACTACCTGTATATTGAGATAGGCTATAAAAAAAAGAATCCTGGAAGGCGGATTACATTATCCTTCCATTCCTTCCTCCAGTGAATCAGGGAGCTGTTTCCCTGAGCTGCTTCTGATTATTATCTTGCTTCCCAGGCTTAAAGAACATTTTACTCTCTTTTTTTATGTCTAAGTACAGTAATTGTTCTTACTTATTTTGAGAAGGTCACCTCCCTTATTCTCTCCACACACTGACTCCATGCCCAGAATAAATGCTCATATTTCTGTCTGGAAATGGATGATCCGAAACTAGCTATTCCATCCACACAATTTCACAAGCTTGAAAAAGCATACCTCTGGGTTGTTCTCTCTTTTCCACGGAGCGAATATCCTTGTGGTTTGGTCAGAACCAACAGAAATTATAAAGTCTCCCTCTGGATCCCACGTCACATCTTGGACGCAATTAAAATGTCCTGAAATCATCACTTCTGGAGTCCATTCGCTCTAAATCAAAAACGTTTAATTGTAATCCATGAATGAGGTAAAAGTTGGGTACAGTAATCCTCTCCACTAAGAACCTTGAGCTGGGCGAGATTTGAACTGCCAAATTGTAGTCAGCAGAAGTAGCCTACAGGGTTCACCGACAAAAGGGCGCCCGAGAAAAGGGCGCCCGACGAAACCGCGGTGACAAAACCGTGAGTTCTAAACCGCGCCGACAAATGAGCGCTGAAACACGCCGACAACAGCGCGCCAACAGAAGCGTGCTCTAAACCTAACTTAACCCTAACCCTAATCCTGACCCTAACCCTTAAGGAGCCGAGGTGGCGCAGTGGTTAGGGTGCAGTACTGTAGGCCACTTCAGCTGACTGTTATCTGCAGTTCAGCGGTTC